GAGGAAGGAAGGACTTCATGGCTTGTATCAGAAATAGTGCAGCCAGCAGGAGCAGGGAAGTGATCATCCCTCTGTATTTAGCCCTGGTGAGGCCACACCTGTGTTCAGTTTTGGACTTCTCACTACAAAGAAAGACATTAAGGCCCTGGAGCATGTCCAGAGAAAGGAACGAAGCTGTGGAAGGGCTGGAGCACAAACCTTATGGGGAGTGAATGAGGGAACTGGGATTGTTCAGGATGGAGGAGGTTCAGGGGAGACCTTACTGCCCTCTACAATGACCTGAAGGGAGGTTGTGGGAAGTGGGAGTCAGCCTCTTCTGACTGAAAGCAGATACTCTCCAAGGTAGGGTTGTGTCATAAGTGTCGCAGCCTGGCTCCAGACTTTCAAAGTCACAGCTGATTCCCAAACTGCCTGATGATGACCTCCTCTGCCAGACATCACACCATTGACTTCTTCCCCAGCAATTCCTTCTCTGGCTCTTTCAAATCCAAAAGTCTCTGACTTGAGTCCTGGCTCCATCCTCCTACTTAGATGTTACTTCAGTGTGACTTCCCAGAGGGAAAACTGGATGCCTTCCTGCTGTCTCCCAGACAGTTCTTGCTTAGGACTCTGCTTTCCAACAGCAGCAAATCAGGATTTAAAAAAAAAAGCAAAATAATGAAGCCACAAGTCTCAGCTTAACCATAAATTTTGAACATAACTTCCACCATACCAAACCCTGGGTGCTTTTGACCATCTCCTGCTCATTAACATGATGGGATGAGCAGTGGAATTAGATGCCTCCCAGTCAACTTGTGGAACCATCATAGTAATTAGTCCCAGATAAAAGAGATTAGGCTTTCTGAGTAGCTATGTAAGAGATTTGGATGCTGAGTCATATTGAAATTGGCACAAATTGGGTATCAGTACCTTCTAGGCTGCTTTCTGCCTATTTTCCACTAGATATGTAGCTCTTCACCCCCCTCCTTTCCCATTGAGTGGCACAGCACCCATGGCTGAAACCTCATAATTGGTTCCTTGAGAAAGAAACCAGCTGCCTTGCTGTGGCATTTTGCAATATCCCGAACTCATCCTCATTTCCTTTCATTACTACTCTACCTGTTACATTCTTGGCAGATAAAGGAGCAGATGCATTAATTAGAGAGCAGAGAGAGCTCCTGCCCAAGCCTCCCTCCCCTCACAGCCTCTGTGACCTCATGGAGATTTCACTAAAATATATATAATTAGGTTCTGTAAAGTAACTTCCTGACTACCCGGATCCATGCACTCTCTCTTCAAGTGCAGAAGCCCTAAGTGATGTGTGCTTTTCAAAGATGCATCCAGTACCACGTGATTTTTCCAGCTTTTGTTTACAAAGCAGTATTTACTCATCGTTTTACCTGTGCTTCACCGTGCTAAAGTCAAGTGCATATCCAAAAATCTTGCCGAAGCTTAGTGGGCATGGGGGTGATGGTTTGATGGCTGGACTATATTACTTTAGTTGTCTTTTCCCACCATAATGATTCTTGGATTCTATGATTCTATGCCATTTGCTGCCCTGGGTTTTGCATAATCTGAAAGAGGTATTAACTGTGGAGAGGCAGTGTTAAAGAAGCTGTGTTTGCACGTTGACTTGTTTATGTTTGTCTGTCATTGTACTGGATTGCAGCATGCATGAAGAATTTCCATCCTGAGCAGGGGTTGATTTAAACATGATCTGAAAGTGCTCTGCTAACAAACTTCAGTCTTTACTGAATCTGTGCCAAAGTGCTTTTCAGATAAATTAAAAATTAACATGACGTCTTGCAAGCTTTAAGTATTTTCCTTCTCTGCTGTCCCCCTCCTTTCTTCAAATAGGTTCTGCTGGTCCAGTTGTGGACTTTTTGTTTCAACCATCATCACTGTTGTGGGATAAGTGATTTGCAAAATTGTTTCTCAAAAGCATTCAGACTCAAAATTGATCTGGTTTCTTTAGGACATTTCCTGCAGACAGGCATCCCTCAAACTCCAATGCCTCCTCCTCCCCCCGCGTTGAGTTCAGCCTGAGCTTTGAGAGCTGCCCAATGTTCTGCTCTGTGGTACAGATGGAGGTGAAGTTGCTGGTGACAGTTCAGTTCCAAGCAGTGCTCTGTAGATCAGGGCTCTAGGTCTGACTTGGCAGTGAAAGCGGCCTGGGAGTCCACCAGGATATTCAGGCACTGAAGTTATTCCTGCACAGTAGGAAATCAGATCCTGCCTTTGCAAGGTAGAACTCTACGTCTGGCAAGCTTTCCTAACCTGATACATCCTTGTGACAAATATATGGATCAGGCAGGCCTGATCCCACTCTGGGGAAAAACGAAAAAGCAATCAAGCAAGAAATCATTTTATGGTGACTTGCTTTTTCCTATCACCAGTATTTGGGGATTGTTTGTGCTCTTACAGTAGTTCCAAGAGGGGCCACGAGCCCTGGACAGGCACTGCTTTTCTTGGAAAGCAGCACTTCTAAAATGAGAAACAGACAAGAAAAATAAAGACAGGCTAAGATATACAAGCAGGGGAAGCTCAATGGGCCAGCACTGTGGTTTCTTGTTCCTTTTGTGTGGATGATCCTTGCACACACATCTTTTGTCTTGCCTAAAGCCCACTCCTGTTTCCATACAACCTGGAGCCTTCAAAGCTTTGAAGTAACATCTAACCACAGGCTCACCATACATGCTTTTTCAGATTGGCACAAAAAGATGGGGCACTAGTAAGCATAGAGCTGCTTTTTATTATAAGCTTTGTTTTTTAGCTTCTATTTAGGAGAAGAGCTAACAAGTTGAATAATGTACTAAACTACCATCTTTCTAGCAGGGATTCAAGAACCTAAAACAAAGGAATTATGGGCAACACCATCAGAAGTGCTCTACTTTTCACACAATAAGCAGATCTCTCTGTGCTCAAATAACGATCCCTGCAGATTTCATCTCGTATAATTACATAATGCTCAATTCCAAACTGGAGCTTTTTACATGTTTCTCAACATTAGTTTCTCAGGAATGCCCAAACAAATCTAACAACAACAACAACAACAACAACAACAACAAAAGAGCAACTATAATGTTGTTTGTTCCTAAGGATCCCCTGTGAACTTTGGGACCCAAAGCCAGCACAGATCTTACAACATTTACAGGAAGCATTCCCTCCCATATTTCAGCACCTGGAAGATGAATCCCATCTATCTCATAGAATGACAGAATTGTTTGAGTTGGATGGGATCATTAAGGGTCATCTAGTTCAACTCTCCTGCAGGAGACACCTACAGCTACATCAGCTTGCTCAGAGCCCTGTCCAGACTCATCATGAGCATCTCCAGGGACGGGGCACCTACCACCTCTCCGAGCAACCTGTGCCAGTGCCTCAGCACCCTTATTTAGAAAACTTCTTTCTTATATCTGATCTAGATCTCCCCGCTTTTAGTTTGGAACCATTTCCCCATGTCCTGTTGCAACATATCCCCTTGTCCTATCCTACTAAAGAGTCTGTCCTCTTCTTTCTTATAGACTCTATTTAGATACTGAAAGGTATCTTTAGATATCTGTCGCACGTGCTGAGTGTTTTCTGGCTGTGGGCATAATTCCTGAGGAAACACCAGAGACTTGCTGTAAGGTTGTCAGCATAATGGGTGTCTTGAGGTGTCTGCATCACTACAAGATTTTTTTTTTTTTTAATTTTCTGTGTGGGTTTTACAGGGGAAAAATCTCAACGTAAGTATAATTGAATGGGGCAGGGGGTGGGGGGAAGGGGAGGAGAAGGGGAAAGAAGGCATGAATCTGTAAGAGGTGAGAGAACAAGAGTTCCTGTTCCACCCCTGTTCGTGTTCTGATACACCTACATCCTCCCAAAGGTGCTGCAGGGAAACAGGGACACAACTTCGAGGGCAGCGGCTGTGCACACAGCTGTGCACGGTGCCAACAGTGGCCAGTCTCAAGAAGCAGGGAGAGGCTCAGAACTCTTTTCAGACCTGGCACACCATGCAGCCCATTTAAGAGACCCGCTTTTCAGGCACACTCTTGGAAGATCCAGGCGCAGGAACGAGGAGGTGGTTTGAAATTACTACATATGTCTTCTTGATATATTTACACTCCAGGGACCACCCACGTCACAGAATGTGTTTAAATTGTTCCCCAAGCTTTCTTCTGGAATTGAGGCTAAATTACAGATTCCCTTTTCCCAGGACGCAAGAAAAATTAGCAACTTTCTGAATGATTATTATTATTACAGGGGTGGATTTTTTTAAATAGATCCCATTCTTGAAAACCTTTCAAGCGCTGGGGGAAAGATTTGCACCTCCTCAGCTCTTTTAACTGCCGGTTACTTAACCTTAGCTAGTAAAAAAATGCATGCAAGTAAAGACAAACTCCTCTTTTTTGAGAGCCAGTTGAAGCAAATTGAGGAAAGGCTATGGGAAAGGAGGATGAAATCCCCTTTAGAAAAGATGCATTATTTTCTATATTAATATGACCGTGAACTCCTTGTGCATACTCCTGTGCACTGAGATAATACATTTCAGTTTTAATCGTTTCAGTCAATGTCAATCTTACATCAACCAGGCAATAAAGTAAAAATGGCCTTTGGGAAACATCAGTGAATCTTATTTTGTGCTGCAGTACTGCCAGTGTAAATACCTACTTGTGTTTTGTGAGCTCAAAGCCAAGCGGAGCAAAATTTTCCTTTCAGAGAGACTACTGACCTGTCAGCATCAAAAATATTATTCTTAGCACATGAAAATTGTTTGTCGGTGATTGTAATAAAAATAATCTTTGCAAAATCCATTATTACTCTAGTAAACATTTTCCCTTAGGCACCAATTGTAGGAAATGAATTAAGAAGTTGATAGGAATTGTCTAAGAAAAAATTATAAAGACAGTGTCACTTCTACAGTATTACTGGCATAAAATATATTTTCTATTTCAATTACTTTTTTTTTACAGTAGCTCAGAGATCTGAAACATTTTGGTAAATCATAACTATAACTGATTTTACTGTTTGCTTTCCAGAATGCTAGAAGATGATCTGAAGTTAAGCAGCGATGAAGAGGAGAATGACCAGGTAAGAACCAGACAAGAACCATGTAACTTGCAGCATGTTTCTTGTCGAGACAGAGATACTGCAAATATTTTGCTAATGCTTTTTCAAAATATACATCAAGGTTATCAAAATACATGAAAGTACTGTAAATGGAGTAACAGATGTTCTTGCTCTGCACCAGACTGCATGTGCTAACTGCTGTATTTGTGGGGAATGTTCTGCGGGGGTCTTGATTTATTACCTTGATGCAACCCAGAAGGTTTTCGTATCAGTCTCCTCCTGATTGAATTTTGTTTTGTTTTAAAGAGCAGCCAAGGAGGGAAGAAACAGGAATTTGGATTAGGGATTGAGGCCAAACTCTTTGAGCACAAGCTGGGCCATAGCGGCCAGCCCCTGGGCAGCCTACCTGCCTAGAACCCTGGCTGGTCATCCATGGAACAGTCACTAGGACGCTTTCCTGAGCTTTAAGGACCCCAAAATGCCTGCCTGGGAGCACACACTTCTCCAAATGTTTTCTATGGGTCAGGAGAGCTGGATTTTTTTTCAGGTTGGGGGTCTGTGCTCACCAGAGTAGAGCTGGATCTTGATTTTTGTGTGGCCAACCAAATTCCTAGTTGCCAGATTTTACTATCACAAGCTCTCTCCCAGTATACTGGTATGGATTTGGTGAGGAATGGGAGAGCAAGAGCGACTTTCCTTTCTCCTTGCCCTAAAATGCACATCCCATGACTCCACCAAAGTATGAGGAGGAGGAGACATTGCCCTGGTTGCACCTCACAAGTGGCTCCAGGCTGAGATATAACGCAGCTTTCAAATGTGATTTTTTTTCAATTGAGGATAACTGGAGCTATCTAGACTTCTGAAATTCGGGACCTTAGGCAAATAACTCTAGTATGTAGGCCTGAAGCTCTTCCAGATTTTATTTTAACTGTTGTTATTAGAAGTTTGTATTTTACAATATATTCCAAGCAACAAGTAAGTCAAAGCCTTTTCATATTTATATTAAACCATTATTTCATCTATTTTGAGCAAAGCTTTATTGTATTAAGAAGATTCAGCACATGGAATCAATTATTTACATATTTATGCAATTTCCTTTTGTTTAATACATTTCATCTCAAAACACTTCACATTTAATTATTCTTTCTGCTTGTCTAGATAGTTTAAAGCACAGCACATAGACAGCGAAGGGAGACATCCAGTGAGGGACAAGAAGGGTGGTTGTCTGAAGAGTAACAAGCACATGGTTACACCATGGGGCTGGCAGGGGGATGATGTGTGTGGAAGGGGGGATGCAGAGATGGGAGGCACAGATCATCCCAGGAGTAGGGCACAAGGGATCCCCCTTAATACTGAGCATCCTGCAGCAGGGATAGCCTGTGCTCAGCTTGCTCTGTCTGTGTGTGCCACACCATGTCTTCACTCAGCAATGAGAGCTTCACAGAGCGTCTGCTCCAGCCCAAGACTTTCTCCTCTATACTTCTGTACTATATCTATCCTACCAGCACCCAGAGCCAAGCAGCATTTGTCATCAGCACAGCAAGGAGCAGAGCCAAAGTCCCATTGCTAAGTGTCAGTCATTACATGAGCAGCCTCTAGCAGCTACACTGGCGTGGTTCCCTCTCTCTAAAGTGGAATAGCTGCATTTTTTTTCTAACTTGGCTGTATAGACAAAAAGCTCCTGAGGGCACAGGTTGCCTCTGGCTATACAAAATGCTTTGCAGAACCTCACTTGAGACCTGCAGGTTTGCTTAATGAACAACCCTAAATGATTATGTCTGTTGGATAAACAAAAGACAAAGTTTTCATCTACTGAGCAGGAAATGGGCCCAAAAAAGAATAACACAGACCCACTCTTTCAAATAAATAACATGGATCCACATCTAAATGTCAGAGGAAGAACCCATTTTCTTTCACTTTTTAATTCTGAAGCTCTTTAATCTCAAATCTCTTCCTGAGCTCAGGAGCAGGAAAGAAGGAAATCAAAGATGAAGGGATAGGAACCATACACGAGCAATTCTCAGATATTCCTTACTGAATTAATTGACCTTTCAGCAATCATACTCGTTTAAGTAGTCCAATTTCTTAAATAGCTGAAGATGAACTGTGCAAGAGCTGGGAAGCTTTTCTTTTTGTTAATTCCTAGATGAGGAAGTTTGGGGTAAAAAAAAAAAAAAATTGAAAACCTAGAAGGCAATTTTGTGCATGCATTTGAAATTGCCAGGCAGCAAATGGAAAGTGTCTGCAGGAGTGCAGACAGGGACAGGTGCTACTGCAGTCCTATGGCTGGTATTTGGAGGGTTGTGCACGACCCAGAGAATGTGAGCAATGGGCAAGAGAGGCCAAATGCAAGACAGGGGCATGATGAAGAGCCTCGGGATCCCAAATGTTCCCTCCATGCCAGCAATTAAGGTAGCAAGATTCATAGACCCAGGAGAGGTGAAGGAGGCTGGGTTTCAGTCGAGTGTGTGTATGCCCACAGTAATGACATTATCCACACATATTAGTCTCTTAATTTTAATTACATAAATGTATTTTTCCTCTTTAATGAGCGTAGTTTATCCATTTAAACTGATCATTTTAATTTTACAGGCAGTGATCATAGAATCTAATATGCAGAGGGAAAATTTCCTGTTGGCATATTTTACATCACGCAGATTGAAGAAAATATACTTTTTAATCCCCAATCAATATCTGAAGAGCAAGCAATTAACAGATACCGAGGTGGTTAACATAAATCTGCAAGTTAAAGAGCCAATTCATTTTGATTTATAACACAGTGTAATAATTTCACCATCATCTCTCCCAGAAAGCATCTGAAGCTTTGTAGCATGAAGATGTCAAAATTGTACTTAAGATTGTTCAGAATGCTGAATTGTAGTGGTTATTGCCTTCAGGTTCCTTGAAGTGTGGCACAGCACATGAAGCAGTCCCCATTATAATACCCTGCTCTTCTCTGTAGAGGTCACTGGATAACTTAAATCAGTCTTGGGTGAAATATTAAAAGGAGATTGTCAATTGTAACACGAACAATTCTTTTCCTTCTACTCGTCCTTTTACAATATGAGAATTTTGTAACAGCAAGTAGTTCCTTTAAGGGGAAAAAGATCCCTGGATTCATTTGTGCAATTCTTGTCAATCAATAGCCAAATAAATTAACTGACTGGTACACATACATGGAATAATAATCTAACATATTTTTGCAGCCCCAGTCTGCTTCCTTGCATGCATTTTTTCTGTGCGGGATCAGGTTGGTTGCCGCTGAAGTTTTGTGGCTGTGAAAATTTATTACCCACAGAGTCAATCTGCGTTCTGGCTGCCAAGTCTGAATAAATAGAGTCATTGTGCTTGTCTGGAATATGTAACCAAAGTTCATCCAGTCAGCTTGACTTTCACATCCCATGAGATTCATAAAAGCCAACACCCTGGTATGTGCTCTTGATTCCTGCCAAAATTTTGTAAAATTGTATAAACAGAAGTTGAAGAAGCAATCAGAACACCCTCCCAGGGACGCAGCTCCAAATTCAATCCCCTGCTGTATCTTGAAAGGAAAAACGGAGTCTTAGTCCTTTTTTTTTTCTTTTCTTTTTTTCTTTTTAAACATCTCATGGCTACAGCAAAAGAAGGTGGGGGGTGAGTGCACCCGTGGCACATGGAGTGCAGGGAGGCAGTGAGCTATGATGCTCTTGGGTATTTTCGTGCTGGTTTTCTCCCTGCGTGTAAAAAAGAGTGAAGGCAATGCCTGCCAGGGAGTCGCTGCCTTCCCATTGAAGGGAGAGGACAGGCATCCCTACAGGATCTCAGGCAGCCTGAGACCACCCAGCCCTTCTGCAGGGTGGCCAAAACCAACTGAGCCCATATCCCTCCATGGGAGACCTCAAGGGAAGAGTAGCCTCAAGGAAGGTTATGAGAAACAACTTCAGTGCAGAGAAATAAACTCTCAGGAGCATGATTTGACCCGGAGCTGCTGGGGGCTGGCCCTACCCATCACAGCCTGGGGACAGCCAGAGAATGCTTCTAGTCCAGGGGTACACCATGCTTGTTGGCCATAGCCAAGATGGAGAGCTTAGTGCTGATTCAGGTTGTTCCCACAGCTCTAGTGGGAACATCTGTGCCCATGCTTCCCCGCATCACACGTCTGCTTAAGGTCTCAGAGCAAAAACTGCTTGTTTCTGGCAGAACTGTCTGCCAGACAAATCCACCCTCTTAATGCAACAGGATAAAAGTCCATCCCCATGGACAGTGGCAGTCAGTGTGGCCACGTAAGTAGCACTGAGAAATGATTTATTTATCAGGTCCAAAAACTGTACTTCAGTGGTAGCCAGACACAAGTGAGACAGAATGCATTTATCTTTATAATAAGGTGCAGGACTTTTTCCTCTCCTATCTGGATATGGACCAACAGTCTTCAAAAACTTACAAATTACATTGAAATGAGCAATTATACATACACTTTCTTCCAGAAAGGGTAATTTTTAGCAGAGTCTAGATAAGCACTATTTCTTCATATGGAATCTAATATTGCAGCTAATTTGAATTAACCTGCAAAGGATTTTGAAAGAAATTGCAGAAGGGACAAAGTGGCTATAAGCTTTCTTTCCATCAAACCTCCTCTGGTACAATGGCACTTTCTGAGCTTTCTGATGTCGAAGATCAGCCAAGTGAAGAGCAGAGCCAGGTACATCCAGAAAGAGCAGCCAGATCAGGCAAATTATAGCATGGCCCTGTTCATAACGAAGACTATTTTTAGGCAGCACTAATTGTGTGCACATATGCTGCATCCAACTATATTAACCACATTAAGTCATTTTAGTGCTGTGCTCCCTTATTCACCTCTTCATCAGTGCAATATTCAATGCTTGATCAGAAGTGAAAATGAGCAGAAAATTGAAGATGAGAACACAGTCCTGAAGAAAGCAAAAATAAACAACAAAAGAAAGGATTGAACCTGCATCTTTGCTGCAAATACGCTTACATTTCAAAAAATGCCCAGATAAACTTGAAGAAAAATCCTTCTGATG